AAAGGTAGGCAGCTCCCTTAGTGCAGTGACCAGCCGGCCTAACTGAACTGCTGAGTTTCAGATTCAGTATGAGGCTCTGTCTGAAAAAAAAAACAGGTGGAAAGTTTGGATGGCAGACACTTGACCTCAATCTCTGGATGCACACATGTGTGCATGTGTGTGCACACACGGACACACAGACACACAGACGACAAGTACATATACCACACATGACACAACACTCAATTCTTAAAAATTGTTTCAGGCTTTTTTGTATACATTTATGATTTTATATTTTTCTACTCCATTTTTTTCTTTCAATTTTTAAATACTTTATTATTATTTGTGTGTGTGTGTGTGTGTGTGCGTGTGTGTGACATGACACAAGTGGAAGACAGAAGACAACTCTGTGAAGTTGGTTCTCTCCTTCCGCCTGTACATGGGTTTCAGGATTGAACTCAGCTTTTGCTCAGCAAGTGTCTTTACCTGCTCAGCTATTTTACTCACCCCTCTACTATAGTCTTCCTAATTAATTCTTCAGGAATTTACCCAAGTGAAAAACGTGAGATAAGGATTCCATTATGTTATTGTTGTCATTTGGTGCTGGGCATCAAACCCAGAGCCCTGTGTGCATACTGACAGTCATTCTGCCATTACTGCTAGGCTTGCTCCCCCTCCCCCCTTTCATTTCCAAAACACACGTAGCTATCATGTAGCCTGAGCTGTCCTCAAACTCACTTCAAAGCTGGGGATGACCTTGAACTCCTTATCCTCCTGGCTCTACCTCCGTGGTGTTAGAACCACAGGTGTGTCCCACACATCTGGCCACTCCTGTTATTTCTTTAAAGCCAACAACAATTAAAATCGGAAATTTTAAATCCATATAGGACAAAAGAAGCTGGGAAAATTCTGGAAAGGGGGAAGAAACAGAGCAAAATAATTCATCGGAGGTTTAGTCTCACCAGAAATGAAACCATAGTCTGCATCCTTAAAAATAATATGGCCCTGGGTACATCAGAGACTGAAGGATTGTGGGAGTCGGGGAAGGAATGGAGGGAGGAACAATGAAAGAGGAGACAGGGGACATGCCTAGCATGCACGAGACTCTGGGTTGGATCCCAGCTCCTGGGGGTTGTGAGGAGGATACAAGGTAACCAGAGTTATCATGAGGAAATTGTAAAGGCATTAATGAGAGTTATCATCTTTTTCAAGGTGAATGTTCCTGTCCAAGAACACAGTTCCCTTTTTCACTGGTCCAGGTCTCCTATCGGAGACTCTACCCTAGAATGAGGATTCCACATCTTCCCCCCACCTTCTCATCCCTTACATAGCATTAGTAAACGTGACTGTTCGAGCCTCGAAGTTTGTTTCTTTAAGTATTCCTAGTGTACTGGGCTTCCCAGTCTCTCCTCACAGAACAGGAGAGTTATGGGGATCAAGTCTGATTTCATCAGGCTTGCAGTCATGTGTTGCTGATCACAGGGACACCTTCTGACCAACGCGTTGTTAGCGTTGTGTGAACACCGAGAACGAGAAGCTGACTACAGGCGGTAGAGCCCAGTTCGCTGCACACCTAGGCTTCAGGATAGAGCAGGTTGCAGCTCCTAGGCTGCACTCTGAACAGCTTGTTCTAGATTGGATACTTTATGTGTCTGTAACAATAATATTTGTGTATCTAAACATCTAAGCCCAGAAAAGTAAAAATATTGTTTAATATAGCTTACCCGGTATATAAAATTAGAGTAAAAACATAGTAGAAAAAGATACAAAATGGAAGCTGGTGTGGCAGTGTCTGCCTGTAATGCCAGTACTCAAGAGGCAGACAGGAAGACCAAGTTTAAGGCCTCTCAGCTACATAGTAAGTTTGAGGGTCACTCGGCTGTCTCAAAACAAACAAATACAGATATAAAATGGTGTAACTGCATACAACTCGTCACCAGACTAGAACATGCATGTCTGAGAGTTGCCCTGGAGTAATTAATGAGTAACAGGAGAATATGTGGTGACCACTGTGGGCTTACTACAGTGGACAACTGGACCAAACATAATTTATTTTAAACAATTTTTTTTCTTAGATAATAAATTAACTTCTACAATATACTTTTTTATATATATATATAACTAATTTTTTCACTTTTTAATTTTTGCTATGTAACCCAAGCTGCCCTCAGACTCACTGTGGAGCCAAGAATGACATGAAGCTTCAGCCAACACTTCTAGTGCTAGGGTTACCGGCATGCAAACTATGCCTGCCTTTAAAACAAAACAACGACAACAACAAAAAAACCACTTGGATACTATCAAGCTTAAAACACATTGTACAAATATTTTAAAATTATTTTCCTTATGCGCTTAATCTGTGAGGTCATTTTTGTTTGTTGCTTGGTGGCTGTTTTGTTTCGGTTTGGGATAGTCTCATATAGGAGGACAGTCTGGCCTCTAACTTGCTGTGGAGCTGAAGATGATCTTGAATTTTTGATCCTCCTGCCTCTGCCTCTGCCTTCTGAGGACCGGGATTACAGGCATGCACCAGGTTTATGAGGAGCTGGGATCACAACTGGGGCCTGTTCATACAAGGCAAGCACTTTACCAACTGAGCCATAACGCCATCCTTTCTAGTTATTTACTTTTAAAAAAATTTTTTGTTACTGTTCAAAACAAAGTTCCAAACATTTGCATTAGCCTCGTGGGATCTAGCTTCTCATTACCTCAGCCAGGTGTGGTGGTGTACGACTGTAATTCAAGCCCGTGGGGGGTGGGGGGAGAGACAGAAGAAGGAAGACTACTTGAAGCTGTAGTGTAGCTGAACCTTATGAACATATTCAAGGCCATTCACTCAATTTTAGTACGCTTGCCTACCACGCACAAGGCTCTGGCTTCTATCCAGGCAGTGAAAACCATAATCAGTACGACACTACCTTTCATCCTGTCTTCCTGGAAGGGAAAGGTTAGGGGCAGTGGCATGCATAGAATAGCTATCTCCTTGGATGATAATAATGTGCTCTGAAGGGTCAGAGACCAAAGAAGAACTCTCTTACAGTTAATTTATCATTATCAAGAATTGTACATAATTGGATGGCTGCACTCTCACACAGTTGGCGGCACAATTGGCTTGTCTGCACCGGTGGTAACACCACAAACGTGTGAATAATGCACCATGTCATGATATTTCAATATGCGGAACTTTTTCTGCTCAGCTCTTGTTGTCTGGGACCACTGTCAGCAGTTACACACCCAATTCTTTGGCTCCAACCTAGCGCTACTAAAAGATTAAAGATGTTAGCTAGTAGATTTCTTTTGTGTGCATACATTTGTGTCATGCATAGGTGCACCCACGCTTGCCCATGTGGAGGCAGGGTTCGTCACTGGCATCTCTCATGACCCTCCATCTCACTGAACCTGGAGCGCACCATTTTAGCTAGAATAACTGGTTACTCAGAAGCCAGGAATCTACTTTTTTCTGTTCACTCACCAGCTCTGGGATTAAAACTGTGTACTGCCACTGCTGGCTTTTTATATAAGTTCTGGGAATGCAAACTTGGATCTCCAGGCTCATACAGCGAGCACTTAACCTCCCCCACCCCCACGACCTAGGTGGCAGCAGATTCCTATTTAGGTGTTCCAGAGCCTGAGTTTACGGCTTCACTTTAGCTTGAGAAGTTAGGATGAATACAGTAGCATGTGCCTGTAATCCCATCTAGTTAGGAGATTAAGTCAGAAACCCATCAAGTTCAAAACCAGCAAGAAGTGGAAAGGTGGGAGAGGGAGGGGGTCATTATTTATTATTATTATTATTATTATTATTATCTATTTATTAATTTATTTATGACCTGGAACTCATAGAGATCCATCTGCCTCTACCTCATGAGTACTGGGATTAAAGTTGTCCAGTGGGGTATTACTTATGACTACTTTTATGTGTATACTTGTTGGTATGTTTGAGGTAGGGAGGGTTGTGTGCAGCCCAGGCTGACTGCAAACTCTCTAAGTATCCAAAGCAGGCCTCGAACTCCTGATCCTCCTGCCTTCACCTACCAAGTGCTCAGATGACAGGTGTGCTCCACCAGGCCAAGCCCAAGTTTCAAAACTCATTTGCATAGTCCTGTGCTATCTGAATCTTATCTATAAGACCCCTGTCCCAGACCATGTAAATCCCTGCCTAATTCACACTCAAGATGAAGACTTTTTTCTGAGACTAGCTTCCTCCTCACGGGGATGTGTTTTTCCTTATGGACTGCCCATTCTGATTAGGTGGGTCCTCTGAAAGGCAGAATCGAGCAGTGAGCCTCTAACAAGAGTCAAAGAATACAGCCTAGAGAGCAGCTCAAACATGTTGGTTAACGATGGGGTCATGGAGCTTAGTGGGCTGGGAGAGGTAAGGTCCAGAATGGGATAGCTAAAAACTAAGACCATGGTATACTGGTTTAGGAGCTGTTGGGAGGCTAAGGCTGGGCATCTGGCAAAAAAAGACTGAAGGAGACATCGGGGGATTTTTTTTTTTAAGGAAAGAAAAAGGGAAGGACAAAAAAGCAAAGGGGGGAAAAAGGTATGCATATGCGACCTCACTGATAAAGAGAAAGACTGATTTGGGACTACCATTTAATTATTATGAGGTTTCAAAAGCTTCACAGCAAAGAAAAACATAGTTGGGTCCTAATTAAGAAAAGTCATTACTTGTATTAGACCTGTGCTACTAATCGAATTGTCCTAAGTCTTAACATACTCTTTTCAATGAGTTTCCTGACCCAGAAATCAAAAGGACTTTGTGTTCCCTATCTCATCCATACGCAAAAAACACCGCGAAACAGAGACAGTTTTTTTTTCTTTAAGGTTAAAAAGGAAGAAAATGACACCGACTACCTTTATTCTGATAGATTTTGACATCCTAACCCCTGGAATAACACCTCTTTTGCTCTAATATAGAGTCTATAACCACACCTTATATTTGGTTGGTTTATTTCTATGATGGATAAATATTCATTTCTAGGATACCTACCCTCTCCCGCCCTCCCCAAATCTACCTTTCCAAGACAGGGGAAGGTGCATCCTCGTCGAGCTCCCGCCTGTACCTTCCTAGTATCTCTGGCCAGCAGCCTGTGCTCCCTGGACATCCGTGAATGCTTGATGCTACATCTCTACCCAAACCGAAGCTTCCCGCCTGCACTCTGTCAACGGCACTTGCGGGCGGGGCGGGGGGGGGGCAACTTTTGGAACAGAAAGTTCCACCCATCCTACTCCCTACTGCAACCAAACCAGCTAAAACACCCCACCTCAGACTCCCCAACTAAGTCTCATCACATGATCTACCGTACTGTAAATTTTTTTTTTAACAAGAAAACAAGCATCCAAAAAGAAAAAAAAATTCAAACTGCAGGCGCGAGCCAATGGGGAAGCAGGGGAAGGTGGGCGGGGGAAGCGCGGCGGGCTGGGCGGGGACCCGCGGACCTGTGGACCGAAGGATTCGTAAAACGCAGCAGGCGCACGGTTTAGGCTTTTTTTTTTTCTTCCAAAACTAAGTTAAGAGCGAGGCTCCGCCTGCAGCTGCAGCCTCTCAGATCCACCTTAAATCTTCAGTGGACTCGGTGCAGGGGTCAGTGGGCGCAGCCAATGCCAATCAAGTTTACAACCACCAGCTCGGGACGGGGAGGGGGGAGTGTTGGGGGGGCGCGAGAGAGAAACTTCAACTTCTCGCTTCCTATGCACACATCACACACGCAAACACACGTACGCACGCACATGCACACGCACACGCACACAAAGGGAAGGAGGGGGCGAGAGACCGGCGCTCGGTGGCCAGTGAGCATGTTTGCAAACGCTTCTATCTAAGCTCACTGGCCGCGGCCTGGACGCGCTCCCCGCGTCCCGACCCGAGCGCCATGATGGTGGCTGCGGTTCTCAGCCCGGGTTCTGGAGGGGGAGCCGCAAATGATGCAATCCCCCGGCCGGCGCCCGAACCGCGCGCCCTTCTCCCGGCCTTTTTCTTAACGTTCCTTTTTAGAGACGCGTCGAGGTTTCGCGCCCAAAGCATGGATAAGGGTTTTGTTTTGGTGGTTTTTTTTTTTTTTTTTTTTTTTTAAGATTTTCTATTTTCTGGTTCCTGCCTCTGCTGGGTCCTCATGCATGACAAGTCTGGGACTTGGATGGAGGCCCGAGGGACTTGAAATTTGAGTTTACGTGGAAATAAGTGCACTTTCGGTTCTCCGGGATCCGCCTGTGGCTGACCCCACCCTGTTACAACCCCACGCGAGTGAAATCAGGGAGACGACCCCATAGGTTCCTACGTAGGCTCCTGGGCCCTTTTACCCCTCAGGGTCGTTTGCAAGTTTTTTTTTTTTTTTGCTTTATTATTTTTTAAGCCAGAAAAAGGGGGGGGGGACAGGAGTAGGGTGTGGCTCAGGTGGAAAATGGCAAAAGAAAAAGAATCCATACTCTGAAAAAACAGATCAGGGATCCTAAGTGGACTTCTAAACAGAACACTTTTTAGTCCGGAGCACTAGAAGAGCAATCGTGTTTTCTGGTGATGATGGTGTAATGGCGAAGGCAGAGTTCCCTGGTTCCTAGGAAAGGTCGCTCGGTGCGGCCAGGGCGGTGGGCACACGGTGGCCTGAAAGGCCGACTTTCTGCTCCCTCCCACTAGTTAATGTCCATGGTCCCCTAGTCTAACCCATCACGCCCCCTCCCCAAATCCACATTTCCCCCAGTTCTTTCTTGCCTGGGTCTGCGGCTTTAGACAGCCAAGGATGCAATGATGGGGGGCACTTTGCAAGCAGGGTGAGGGGCAGGGGTGATCCCCGAAAGTGGCAGTGGTTCTCTACGGTTCCGCGCGCTTCGGTGACCGTCCCTTAGCCGCCAGCGAGCCGGGAAGGCTTTCGAAATCCGCGGGGCTGAGGATCATTGGAGCCCTGCGGTAGGGGTGGGAGCGGGCTGCTACCCTGGAGGGTCCACGAACTCCGGGAAATTGGTCCCTTCGGGCAAGTCCCCCAGAGCTCAGTGGGCGGCGGGGTGTCCTCTGGGGAGGGTCGTGGGCCTTCCTTAGTGATTTTCTTCGTTTGAAGGATCGATGGTGAGGAAGGAAGGTTTCTGAGAAGTAACCCAGCCCGGCTGCGCGGAGAGGCGCGGCCGCTTTCTGCGGCCTGCGGGCGCCCGGGGCGCGGGAACTGCGCGCGGCCACCCTGGCAGTGCGGGACTTGCAAGTAGCCGGCGACATTAGAGACTTTTGGTCCCGAGGCACCAGCCAGCCCGACCAGCAGTTGCCACAGCGAGCGAGCGGGATCGGGGCTGCGGGACAGTTGGGGAGACTACCGGGCCGTGGCCAGGGTAGTGGGGTAGCGGTAGCTGACGCCGGCGGCCGCAAACCCGCAAAGGGACGTTCGCGGCGGGCGTGGGAGTCCAGGTCCCGGGAAAAGGAACATTTGAACCACCAGATTGTATGTGGAGGCTTGACACAGGGGTTCGGAGGATGGAGGGCACAGTGACTTGGGCGGGGGGTGCGTTCCTGTGGACGTGCCTAGCGCAGAGAGCATCCACCTCTTCCCGGTCCACCATTCCTAAAATGCAACCTCTCAAAATTCACATTAAAAAAGAAACCTATGAAAGGAAAATGAGGTCCGTGTAGTAACAGAGGTGTGTTTTCCCAATTTGGATTGATTTTCTGACTTTTGGTCCTCCTGCAAGCCACCCTTTATATTATGTTTTAAACAGAACCACAAAAACACCTTAGTCTTTAATTAAAATAATACTTACTTGAAGGACTTGGCCCAGCGACCAAAAGATCTATTTTCACATCCCGCACAGGAAGAAAAACCAACGCTTGCTTTATTAGAAAGAAAGAAAGAAAGAAAGAAAGAAAGAAAGAAAGAGAAAAAACTAGTCAAAAATGCTAACACTACCTTGTTTATAATCCCTTTTGGGTATACTGATATAAATGGCACTATTTCAATGAATAATTTAACCCAAATTTGGATTTTTCACAATTTAACCATAAATTTTCTTATAATTTACTTTACACCTTAACCACGTTTCAAAAAGTGTTATTTAGAGAATTATTTTTGATAAACCTGGTTTTTAAAATGCCCTGGTTTCTTTTTTCTTTTTTTTTAAAGTAAAACAAAATATGCATCTCTGCTGAGCAGATATTCAGACACAAGATTCTGTTTTAGTATTTTTACTATTTTTTGATGCATTTAACTATAATATAAATATTCAAAAATTGAGAAATTTGTGTATGACCAATTTCACTTAACCAACGAGTGTGGAAAAATGTGGTTCTTAAGGACTTGTGAGTTGGGCTATTGTGGACAAGGTTGGGAGGGTGGGAGTCAGGACATTGATTTTCATCCCTCACGCCACTTCAAAAGTGTAAATAGAGAATCTAGAGAAGTCGTTACATCACTTTCATTTTCAGTACTGCAGATGTGTGATCAGACCACACTTATGTAAGGGTCCCCCCCCCTTTGGTTCTCACATACTCATAGCCTAGAAAACATAAATATTTTAACTAAATGGGGACTGCTGACAAGTCTTACATGAAAATGTGGCTTTTCCTCTTTCCAGTTAAGCTTTGTCTACCCATATAGGACTAAGACGAAAATGGCCACTAAGTATATTCAGACCCCCACCACCCACCCCCACACACAAATCTGACTGACATGTAGGCCTAAATTTTGTAGATGTTCCCTCCCTCCCCATTGTATTTGGAGCATGCCAGGCTGAATACCTCAAACTTGGTAAAGCACATACAGTTGCACTCAGTAAATAACTATGGAAGTTTTCTTTATTGATTGTTTGATGTGTAACAATAATTGGCATCTTTTTTCACACATTACAAAAATTATACTTGGCTCAGTATGCAACCTTTTAAGCATAGCCATATTATTTAACAAAAGGGTGGGGGAGCTAGACTACCCAATACAGCATTTACAAATGCACAAAACATGCCACTTTGGCTTGTATATTGTCTAGATTAAAAAAAAAATCTCTTTTTAACATAAATAAGTTAGTATAATTTTCAGTGTCTTTACAGAGTTATGTACACAGGCACACTTCAAAGTTTTTCTCATACACAGGCAATGAAGAAACACTGTTTAAAGATGTAGTATCCATTTCACTACTCTACAAGTGTCCTTTTTTCTTTTAAAAACAATTTTCCTTTGGGACAAATTAACAAGTAGGGTGAGAAAACTTTGAATTAAAAATTATTTCATTATTTGTGTAAAGTTATAGACTTCTAAAAATATCCAAGGATTTAGGATTATGTTCACTGTGAAAAGAAAACTAAGAAATTTACTCAGCAAATATGATCCGAGATAGTCAATTCTAAGAATTTAGAATTCCTTATCACGCAACCCAGATTTTTGCCCAGAGTTACCTGGGGTGATTATGGCTAAACAATTAACCAGTAAATTCCAATCTTAAGAAAAAAAAAATTTTAAGCCATTTCTTGCTACATAACAGAGTCTTCAGAACTCCCAAATGAAAATAAGCTTCATGAAAAATAAATAGCAACTATCTGTATCGATTATTCAAATTCTGATTATTTTAAAAAGAAAGGATCCGTTCTTACCGAAAGGGACACTACATCTTTAAAGAAAGGAATCCAAACCCTTCCCCCCACCCAAGTTGCTTCTCTTTATGCAAGTCAAATATTTTCTTCCTTGCTACAAACCGAAGCAAGTTCTTCAGCCCCCATGCTGATTCCTCAGCCCCACCCCGCCCTCCCACCCCTAATGTTTATGTGCTACATAGTAAAAGATAGAAACTATATACACAGGTAGTACAATGAAGCAAATAAGGAAAAACCTAATTGCGGAATGCTACATCCAATGCTTTTAGAGGCAGATGGTTTAAGAGTGCCTACAATTTTTAGTGTTATTGTTTTTGCTTTCTCAGTGCTTATACAGGATGTCCATTCAATGGAGTCAGCGATATGTATTTAAATTTTTTCATGTATATCTTCCTTGCTTCATAAAGCAGTGATGTATCTAATAAACAAGGAAATATTCTTAATTCTGCAAAAGAAACAAAAGAATTAGGGAGAAGACACTAGAGTAACATTGCCAAAGTACAGAAATTATTTTGTTACTACCTTAGTTAACAAATACTTCAGCGATGGTGGATAAATATAGGCACTAAAGGTCTGAAGACTACAGTTATCTCTGATACCATCTTCACTGGAGTTTTGTT